GTCTGCTCTCACCCTGGACCTGCGGGCAAGGAGAGGAGGGGTGGGGGCTGCAGGGGGCACTAGACCAGGCATGGCGGACAGCTGGACAGGGGGCACTACCCAGGCAGGGGGACGTGCAGACGCGACCTCGCCTCCTGGAGCCGGGAGAGGATGGCTGCTCCGAGTGGGTGGTCAGAACTGGGGTTGCAGGAAGCCTGGACTGGGCATGCACTGGAACCTGTCACCGCTCTCAGATGGGCAGTGTGTGTGTGTGTGTGTGTGTGTGCACGCGCATGTGTGTGTGTGATCGAAAGAGACCAAGACTGCCTGCTTCCTTGGGTCTCATCTTGGACTATGTCCCCGTGTCCCACTTCAGCGTCCTGGAAGCAGGGGTCACGCCGCTGGAAGTGCGTAGGTGTGGGTGTGCACAGGGTCTGCCTGTCTTTGTGTGAGCCTATGTGCCGGCCTGTTCGTGTGTCTGCAGCTACCTGAGTGTGTCTGGGCTGGGTGTTTGTTTCTTTTGGATACTGAGTGTGTCAAGATTTAAAAATTGTGCGTGTGTGTCTGGGGGTCCCTGCCTCAGTGGGCCCAAAAGTCTCCTGTTCCTTACGGGGCTGTCGTGTGGCATTCCAAATGCATCTTGCTGTGTTTGGGGCTGTGCAGGTGGGTGCGTCCATGGACCTCTGTGTTGGGGCTGTGTCTGGTTTGCAGCCCGCAGTCTGTGAGTGTGTGTGTGTGTATGTGTGTGTGTGTGTGTGTGTGTGTCAGCAGTCTGTCTGCCTGCTGAGGGGGGGTCCTCTCCCTGACTGTGGGTTTCTGCGTGGGTGTGACAGTGGGGTTCGCAGGTGGGGTTCCACATGGTCTGTCATCTGGGGGTCCTGTGGATGTGTCTGATAGAGTTGGCTCCCCCTCGGGACGTGTTCTGGGTGTGGAATGGGCTGGAGCTTGAGTTTTGGTAGTCATGTCACCCTTTGAGAAAGCCCCAAAAAGGAATTGGGGAAAAATTCAATCTTCCCTCCAAGGGGGGAGATGGCCTTGGCTTCCCCAGCCAGGGCAGGGCAGGGCAGGGCAGGGCAGGGCAGGGCAGGGCAGCATTTGCACTTTCATTCACCTGGCAGCTCCTCCTTCTGGAGTCTTAAGAAGCCAGAGAGGGCAAAGGCCTGCCCTGTGGCCACACAGCAAGTGGATACAGGACCCTGGTCTCCCAGCTGTGCTTCCCCTGCCCCAGCTCCCCCAGCCTGCCGCTCGCCCTCTAGCCCTCTGGCACCACACTTTGGCCTTTGGTCCCATGCCTGGGCCTAGAGGCTCTGGGTGGGGTGTGTGTGTGTGGGGGGCAGGCAGAGGATGGAAGGAGCGAGCATGGAAGCTGGTGCCTTCTGGATAGGCGAGGAGACCTGGGGGTGGGCAGAACCCCTGCTTGCACCCAGCTCCTGAGTGTGTGTGGGCAGTGGGGCCTGGGCTGCCGGAGTGCGCATGGTGTGATGTGCGTGCTTGTGGGTGTGGGTGCGGGAGGCTGCTCTGCTGCGCTGGTGCCACTCCATGTCTGTCGGGCTGTGTGTCTGGGCACCTGGACACCGATGCTGAGGTCACTGTCTCCGGCCCTGTGGCATGTGGGCCCTCGGGGTCCCGTGAGTGTCATGCAGGTGTGTGGCTAGCGGATCACAGTTCTGAGGCCCCTGAGGACGTGTCCGTTCTGCGTGTGGTGATGGGTGTGCAAGGCTGGGTTGTGGAGATGTGTCCTCGTGTCTCAGGCAGCCGCATCTGGGGGCCGCCAGCAGCAGTGTGACGCTTGGGTGTGTGTGTCCCACGGTGTAGCTGGGCGCTGTGGCGGGGGAGGGGGGGTCTGTGTGGTGTGTCACCTGCCGTGGGCATCCATGGGAGGGCGTGTGCCTCAGTGCACACACGCCGCTCTGGACCACTCTTGGAGGACAGACGTGAACATGGATACGGAGGGATGGGAAAGGGAGTAGGTGCAGGGACTGGGTGTGCACAGGTGGGGACAGCAGGGGGCTTTGCAGAATGGGGAGAGATGAGTGGGGGGCAGAGGACAGGGAGAGGTTTAGGGTGCAGGAGAGCCCAGAGGCTCTGTGGGCCAGGCTGGGGCAGCAAGAAGGGCTGGTGGAGGAGGTGCCCTCCCCTGCCGGTTCCTCCTGCACTCCTTGGAAGCTGAACCTGGAGCAGGTGCCAAAGTAGGGGTGTCCAGTTGGCTGGGCTGTCTCTTACTTGGACAAGTCTGGGCAGACATCGGGGTGGGTCTGCAGAGTAGGAACCATGTGCCTAAAGGTGCCGGAGCTGGGCAGCTGCTTCTCAGAGACCTGGAGTCAGGGAGTGCCTGGAAACCCCCCAGGTCTCTGAGCCCTGGGCTTGGCATCCTGACCCGGGCCGCTTCCATTTGTCCCCAGGGTTTGCCTTCCCGGATTGGGCCTACAAGCCCGAGTCGTCCCCTGGCTCGAGGCAGATCCAGCTATGGCACTTTATCCTGGAGCTGCTGCAGAAGGAGGAGTACCAGGGTGTCATCGCCTGGCAGGGGGACTACGGGGAGTTCGTCATCAAGGACCCGGACGAGGTGGCCCGGCTCTGGGGGATCCGCAAGTGCAAGCCCCACATGAATTATGACAAGCTGAGCCGCGCCCTGCGGTGAGGAGGGGCTGGGGCCTGGACTCCCACCTTGCCCCTTCTGCTCTCCCTGTCCCCTACCTCTCGGGGGCTCTTCCTCCATACCCTGGGACCACCGCAGTTACCTGGGAGGGGCCCAAGAAGGAGGACGTGAGCCCGGGGCTTTGGCACCACACAGCACAGGCCCCCAGCTCATCTCACCCCTCCCTCGCCCCGCGACCTCGGTTAAGGCAGCGCTGAGCCTCCGTTCCCGGAGCTGCTGCACAGTGCCTGGCGTAGACGACCATGTGTTATGCAACCCGAGGCCTGACCTGGGCTCTCCCTGGACCTCCCCAGCACCCCCTGCCTCTCCCCACAGTTACTACTACAACAAGCGGATTCTCCACAAGACCAAAGGGAAGAGGTTCACCTACAAGTTCAACTTCAGCAAAGTCGTGCTCGTCAATTACCCACTGCTGGACGTGGCGGCAGCTGCAACAGGCTCCCCACTCCTGCTGACCCCCAGTCCCTTTGGAGGAGCCCCTGGGCCAGATGCTCCTCCCCTCACCCCCGAGGTGAGTTTGGACACTGGGATCCAGGAATGTGGGCGTTTAGTGCCCCCCCACCAGCATGAATCTACCTCAGGTAGGGGGTCGGTCAGTCTAAGCAACACCGCCTCGCCCACCTGCAGACCCTGCAGACCCTGTTCTCTGCCCCACGCCTGGGAGAGCCAGGGGCCCGGACGCCCCTGTTCACTCCTGAGACGGACAAACTGCGCCTGGACAGCCCTTTCCCATTCCTGGGCTCTGGTAAGAGCCTGGCAGTTCTGGGAGTGCCAGAGGGGGAAATGCTTCTCCTGTCTGGGGAAAGTGGGGTGGAGGAATGAGGCTCACGCAGGCTGTGTGTACATGTGAGTTTAAAAGCCAGAGCAGGAGGCAAGCGGGAGGAGGGACATGAAGGAACAGTGGGAGGCGGCTTTCGGGGTGCTAAGGGAACAGGGAGATGGGGGGCAAGTGGGAAGGGCAGTGTGGGAGGGGCAGAGCATGGGTGTGAGCAGCCCAGCCTGACCCACCCCTGTGCCCTCCAGGTACCACCAGCTACGCCAAGCCCCCTGGCCTGCTGGGTCCTTATGGCCGCGCCTTCCCGGAGTACCCCTGGAACTTTAACCCGTACCTCACAGGCCCCTTCCCCAAACTGCCCCCATCTCTCTACCCCCCCCACTTCTACCCTAATCCTCTGGCCAGTTCCCTGGGCCACCTGCCCTCAGCAGGGGCAGGGGGAGGCCCCACAGCCACACCCCTGCTGGCAGGGACAGGGGAGGGCCTGGGTCCTGAGCGCCCCTCGGGCCTGGCAGCAGCCCCTCGCCTGGCACTGCCAGGGGCCGGGGGGCCAGAGGCCGCACTGGGTGGGAAGGAGGACAGCGACTCGGAGCTGGAGATCACCGACGTCAGCGGCTGCAGCTCTGACAGCGAGGGCGAGGAGGGCCTCCCGGCACCCCCCAAGGCCAAGGCGGGCAAAGGGGGCACTGGCAGCTGAGCGGCACGGGTGATGGGCTCTGCGGGGACCAGGGCAGCTGTCAGGGCAGCCTCCTCCGTCTCCGGCCTGCCCGCGATGCCCTGCCCAGGGCCAGGGCCAGGCCCAGCAGGTGTCTTCCTCCCCCAGCCCCAGAGTGGGGGTCTCACTTCCCTATCCACACGGGAGGGGGGGAGAACGTGATGGCTTCCAGCCTCCTCCCCAGGCTCCAGTTTGAGGGGGGTCCCCTTGGCCCCACTCCCAAAGTGCAATATGGCGCCCAGCCTTCCCCGCCCACCCCCGTGCTGTGACCTGCGTGTTTGTGCGGCCGTGTCTCCGACCCCCCTGCGCTGACACCCTCCTACACAGGCCCCCCTGGGGACAGGGAGCTCAGAGCAATAACCCCGCCCCCAGCCCCGCCCAGAC